TGACAGGAGGGAGTAATTCGTCCTCCAGTGATTGTGGATTTAATTAAAAAAAAAAACAGGAGAGGAAAAGACGTCACGCTTTAAACGTAATACCGACCTAGAGAAAATATTTTTTGAACAGGAGTAGCTGTTTATCCCTTGTTCCCTGTTTAGGATTGAGTTTACGGTTCCTTCTAAAGGTTTAATTCTCTTTCATGTCCAGTAATCCCCTTCATTGCTGTTTAGTGACTTTATTGCCTTGTTTGGGGTGAATTGATTAAAAAAAAATACAGATAGCGTATGTTATATATTTCTAAAGGAGAAACAGCCTATGAAGTCAAAAGCAAGCGACTGAATAACAGGGAAAGACGATTTTCAATTAGAGGATAACTGTCAGATCAAGAACTGCTGGACGCCAAAGCAGAAATTCGATGGGGTGGGTGTTGGAAAGATAATCAGTAATTGTGGAACATCTACAAAATGAAAGAAACAATGAAAAATAAGGAAAACCATTTTCACCCGATACAAGCCATAAGAACCGCTCAAGATAGAGTTTTACTGAATGAGGCTGTTGCATGAAGAAGAAGTAAGTGCAGATTATGATGGAATATAGAATAGATAAAGGTTAACCATAAACTTAATTTAATCAGTGGTAACCTCTCAGGATGCTGTTCCTCAAAGAAGCGGTTCTCGATTGTTGAACATCCTTCTTAACAATGGAATATGAAGCAAGTGATGATGCCTCAATGCTGTGTACATCACAATGCAGTTCCTAGCTGAACTGTTTGAATTAATGAATGCGCACAATAGAATCCGACCTGAGATAAGACAAAAACACTGCAGGTTCGTCAAAGACACTGGAACAAGAAATGCGATATTTATGCTCAGAATGTTATCGGAAAGAGCAATATAAATGCAGAAGGACGGTCACCTATGTTTTATAAATTACGTAAACGCGTTTGATAAAGTACGCCACAAAAATCTTGTATTCTGAACACTTGCCTGTCTCTTGTCTGGAAAAGGGCCTTCCCTAGTTATCTCCCTTTTGACTTACTATTAATAACCTCCCTTTGTTGCTGACTCTTGAAAAAATTTTTTTAGCCATCTTGTTAGTTCATTAAAGCCTTCTAAATGTCTCACGTCTTCTTCTTATCACTTCAGACCTGTTGGAACTGCTCGTTAACCTTGACATATTGGCAAAGGATGTTAGAATAATCAAGAACATGTACTGGCAGAAAAACGCCTGAATACAGATAGAAAATGAGTTCAGCAGACATACAAAAATAGAAAGAGGTGCAAAACAAGGATGTGTCTTCTCACCGGTCTTATTAAACCTATACAGTGAGGCGATTCTGAGAGAATTAGAAGTCCTTAGAAGATTTATTATTGGCGGCCATAATGTTAACAACATTAGATATGCAGAGTGCACAATGTTGATAGCATACATGTAAAGAAAACTACAAAGATTCCTACAAAAGTTAATAAAGAAAGGTGAGAAGGAAGGACTAAGCATCAACTGCAAGAAGACAGAATGCAATTGTTGTTAGCAAAAGGATGGACCCAAAATTAAAATTACTAATTGGAGATGCCAAAACCAAACAAGTACAACAAATTTATATATATGGGAAGTGTTTTAACAGAGGACAGAAAGTGTGACACCGAAATCCGAAGACGCATTGGAATTCAGATTATTCCAAAGCAGAGTATTAAGAGATAGAAAAACTTCATTAAAATAAAGAGAAGGGTACTGAATTGTTATGTGATATATGTCCTCCTATATAGCAGTAAATTCTTGGACAGAGATGAAGAAGAGACTTAAAGCAACAGAAATGTGATTCTACAGAAGGGTGCCGAAGATACCATGGACAGAATATGTGAGCCACAACGAAGTTTTCTAGGAAATGGAAACAAAATAGAAACTTATACTTAAGATCTGGAAGGGAAAATTGAAATTCCTAGGGCACATAATGTGGAAAGAAGACTTGGGAAATCTGATACTCACAGGACAGATTGAAAGCAATAGAGACAGACGAAACGATGCATAACATTTAGTGAGTTTGAGTAAATGGATGGTGGGACAGGGTTTAGGAGAAAAAAGAAAAAGAAAATTTATAAGAGTTTCAAAGAGAGAGCCATGATCTTTATGGGACACGGCACATAATATAAAGAAGCTGTTCTAAATATATACCAGGGAAATTGGGACAGAGTCTTCTGCCATGTTTCATCTGTGGGAAAAGCATTTTAGGCTGAAAATGTTTCGTCAAAGTAAACGCTAAATTTAAAGTTGGAAAGGATTAGGAAGTTCCGGCCTCATATGGCAGCAAAATTGCATCTTTCGTCTGATCTAACGATCTAAAAGTTACAGGGTGGCAAGAGGAGTCAGGTATTTTGCATAGTGGTATAAAATACTGGCAATTTTTCCAGCATCGTTAGCGATAGATAGCATGTATGAGTTCCACTTGAGCTCTGAGGGGAGCTTGATGAAGCACATATATATTATTCAATATTAAGCTTTAATCAAGTTAGTGACTAAATCTAGTTGTTGTAAAAAGATCTGAGTTGATTTCTTTTTTTCTTACAGACTACAGAATAAGTGACAATGTAATGGAACTTATCAGATAGCTGTGAAACGTGAAGGTAACAGTAGTACTAATTGTTATCGAAGCATTGAGGACAGTTCCAAAGAGACTAGAAAAATAGATAGTAGAACTTGAATAATTGAAAACATCCTGACGACAGCGTTACTAAATTCAGAGTGAAATTACTGAAAAGATTTTGTTGACCACTGAGAAGACTTTTTGTCACTCGACCTCCATTGAAGACCATCGGTTACGAAAGATGGAAAAAAAACCAAACTAATAAACCGAAACAAAAGCGATAATGAAGTAAAGGCGAACCTAAACCAATGCTCAAGTCTTTCATCTGAAGTATTTTCATTTCTTTTTCATTGTTCAGCGGAAGTGACGTCATATATGGCCCGAGAAATAATGTCTTCCCAAAAGACCTTGTAATCAGTCAATAAACAGAGATTTTTTTATTATTTGGTTCCTCACTATTCTTCTTTTACACTTTTTTTGCTGTTTTAGTTATTAAAAGATTTTGTTGGTTTTTGATAAAATTCCCCTTTTGCGTTCAAATGAGCTGCAGTCTCTCCTAAAGGCAAAAAAGTCGTGCGGGTGTCATTGAAGAAATAGACAGGTCAGTGTAATTTATTTGTGGAGAGAAAAAGAACAACAATAAAAAAAATTGAAGAAAAAAAGGAAGTAAAAGGAAAATAATTTGAAAAAAAAAAAAAAAAAAAAAACGGAAATAAAAAACAAAATTCTTTTAGGAAAAGAAAGATGACTACGAAAAGTCAGTCATGTAATGAAGAAACAAAGGAAAACAAAAGAGAAAGCGAAAGATCTAATCAGAATGAAAGGTGGAAAAGGCGAGAAGAAAATGGTTGCCAATGTTGGAGGGAAAACAAGAAAAACAGTCATAAAATAAAGAATCACTTTAAATGCTATTTCGAAACTTGAAAGAGTTTTATTGACGAATTAATTGTAGCATTTCACTATATACATACATACATGAATACATAAAATATATTTATACACTCATAAATTTATATCATTATCTATCTATCTATCTCATTCTTTTCGTATCTATCTATCTATCTATCTATCTATCTATCTATCTATTTCAGTCTGTCCATATCTATTTCGGTCTGTCCATATCTATCTATCTATCTATCTATCTATCTATCTATCTATCTCATTCTTTTCGTATCTATCTATCTATCTATCTATTTCGGTCTGTCCATATCTATCTATCTATCTATCTATCTATCTATCTATCTATCTATTTCGGTCTGTCCATATCATCTATCATCTATCTATCTATCTATCTATCTATCTATTTTATCTGTCCATATCTATTTTATCTGTCCATATCTATTATCTATCTGTCCATATCTATTTCTATCTATCTATCTATCTATCTATCTATCTATCTATCTATTTTATCTATCTATCTATCTATCTATCTATTTTAGTCTCTATCTATCTATCTATCTATTTCTATCTATCCATATCTATTTCGGTCATCCATATCTATCTATCTATCTATCTATCTATCTATCTATCTACGTGTGTGTGCGTGTTTGTGTGTGCGCGTGCATATTAGCAACAAACGTCGTGTTCATTATATTCACTTAAGTGATCAAGATGTGAACTATGAAATTGGAGATACCAAAATTAAATCCGTACGAAAATTTAAATACCTGGAAATAGAGAGGCCGGAAAATGTGACACCGAAATCTGAATGCGCTTTGGAACTGTGAAAGATGCCTTCCAATAGCCAAGCAAGGTATTAAAAAACAGGAAAATTTTAAAAGGACTAAAGATAAATTGCAAGGGGATAGAATAAATGGTTGTTAACAAAAGGAACAGACCGACAGACATCTTACAAATTGGAAATACCAAAATCAAATAAGTACAACGGTTTAAATATCTGGAAATTGTTTTAATGGAGGACGAAAGGTTTGACCATGAAATCCAAATGCGCATTGGAATAGTGTAAGATGCCTTCTAAAAGCAAAGCAAAATATTACAAAAAAAAAAACAAAAAAACTGGAAATTTTGGTTGGAAAAAAAAAGAACATTGAATTGTTATGTAATATCAATCCTTCTATATGGCAGTGGAAGCAGGAAAATCTCATCACCGATAAAAATTTGACATGATCCAACAGAAACTGATTGAGTGATTCGTTTTCTACGGCTTTTAATATTTTTTGGCTGTAAATAATCTGCAAAGGGTATAAGCGATTTGCAGGTAATTTAAGGTAGAAAATATTTTATAGATATTTTTTAGATAATGATTTAAATATTACTAATTAACCCATAACAGGGGAGAAGAGGTGGATTCATACCTTTCCCAAGAGTATTTGCGCGTAAGTGAATATAAGAAACCCAACTGAAATTGGAACTCGGCTCTCCGAATAAAAATTCCGGACCATTACATCTCCCGTGCATCCAAACTTACAGAACCTGGTATTCTCAAGCGGTCACTCATCTAGGTACTACCAGGATCGAAGTTGCTTAACTTCGGTGGTTGTACGGGAATCGGTGTTTTAACGTGATATGGCCGTAAGCTCCAACAGAAATGTGATTCTATATAAGGTTACTGGGGATACCATGGGCGAAACGTGTGGGTAACGTGAAAGTTTTAAGGAAAACAGAAACAAAAAACAAATACAATTAAATTAACCAGAAAGAAACATTTGATATTTTTGGACGCATAATGAGGAAAGAGGTTCTGGAGAATTTGACACTGACAGGGCACAAAGAAGACAAGAGGAACAGAGGGAAACAATAGGAAAACTACTTAAGTTGCTTGTGTAAATGGATGACAGAACAGGCAGTGGGAAGGATAATAAAAAGATATATATTGCTGAAATCTTTAAAGAATAAGAGGTTGTGGAGATCCATGATCGCCCACATTCTGAAGGGTGACAATACATAGAAGAAGATGGAACAGTAAGATGGTCAACAAAATATATAAAGGGCTTTTGTTTGACCTTTCCACCAACGAATAGCATGCTATATAAATGGATGCCCACTCACTGGAAAAAGACGGCCATCAAAAAGCCTGTTGTAGCTGAGGTGGTTTTGCTCCCAATCTTCAGAAACATGATGGTACATACAGGACTGTTTATAATCATTCATATCTAGCGCAACCACTATGTAGGCTCTTAGCATCAGAGAGCCCTGATCCAGTGACAAGAACCAATCTTGATGATTACAAATCGTCTTGACAAATAGGGTAATTTCCATTGCTTTGTTGTCAATGCTTCTCGTCGCTTACTGGTAAAGTACACCCTTTATAAAACTAGATCAGGTAGATATTTATTTCGCTATTAAAAATACCTGGATGTCAATTTGAATACGTGTATCCACTAGATAAGATGTTTTAAGTAATAAGAAATAATGTCGGATTATAAATAAAGCCTATTAATTTTTCATAAATTCCATCGTTTACGTCTCGGATACGAAAATAAAAACAGATGTAGGTTTGGAGATTTCTTAAGTCGGGTAACTGAACTTGGGTCGACAGTGAATGTCTTCTGTTGCTAAACTCTATAGGAATACCCCGAGCCTAAGAATATTTCCTTTACAAAAAGGAGGCAGGTTCTCATCCTGATAGAAGGTACATTTTCATTATTAAGATTCTTGAATGTACAGGCCAGTAGACATTCACACTCTTAAACAAGAAAAATCTACAAATACATGTGTATCCAATAAATATAACGTTCAAATAACACACACACACACACACACACACACACACACACACACACACATATATATATATATATATGAAGAAATATAGTTTGAAGGTGTGCTATATTTATGGGATGAAGTGCTCAATATCAGAGATAGAGCGTATGTAAATATAAATATAAAAGTGAACCTTGAAGTCAATACTCAGAGGCGACAGGCTGTTTCATGCTAGACGCATTCGTTAGGCCGTGGCTGTTAGATTTTTTCTCCACTATTTATATATATGGGTCAGTGGTGTATTGTGGGTAATCTATTCTCGCGGTTATTTTGGCGGGAGTGGTTTGTTTATTTATTTATTTGTTTATTTATTTGTTTTATTTAGTTTATTTTTCTTGTGTTTCATTTTCATTTTTTATTTTATATATTTATTTATTCTTTTCTGTTTTCGATGTTTTATTAACGTAGAAAAAAGTTGGGAGATTTGCTTAGGTCGTTTATTTAATAGGTTGTTTTGGTCTGGGAAGATAATTAAAGATTTTTATTCGTCCAATTTTTAGATTGCTTGCCGTAGGCTATTCTTTTATTTTGGTGGTGTACTGTTTTTAATATGTTTATTATTTATTTATTTGGATTGATTATATTTTACTTGTTTTTGATTATTTATGTTTATTATTATTAGTTCTAACGGTTATTTTAGCGGAAGCAATTTGTTCATTTATTTATTTGGATTAATTTTTATTTGTTTTTTCTTATTTAGTTAGTTATTTGTTATATTGTATATTTTTATTTACTCTGTTCGGTTTTTGAGTAACTTATTTTTTTATCGTTATAACTATTTTTACGTCTGATTTTTGGATTGATTGTTGTAGTTTATTCTGTTATTTTGGCGGTAGTCGTTTGTTAATTTGTTTATTATTATTTACTTTACTTATTTATTTATTTGGCTTGATTATTTTTACTTGTTTTTATGCATTTTATTTTTATTTTTATTTATTCTATTTCATCTATTCTAACGGGAGTGGTTTGTTAATTTGTTCATTATTTGTTTGGGTTAGTTTATTTTACTTGTTTTTTATTATTTTGTTTATGTTTATTCTTTTCAGTTTTCGATTTTTAAATATCGTAGTAAAAATTTGTTTTCATGTCTGCATTTTGAAATGAGCTCAGATCGTTTATTTAGTAATTTTTTTGGTCTGGGAAGTTAATAATGTCTATTTTTTCATCGGAGCAAAGTTTGCAGGTTTTGGATTGATTGTTGCTGGCCGATGATCTCTTTCTTATTTTCGATGATATTTTTGGTGCGATTTGTGTTTTGTTTTTAATTTCCCAGATATACTTGGAAAGCATTGTGCAGTTCGCGAATTTATGTGTGAAATATGTTTTGCGTTCATAGTTTCTTTGTTTCCTTCAGTTACTCATATGTATACTTTTTCTTCATTATGTGATTTTACCGTGGCTTGGTATATTACGTTGTTTTGTAAGCAATTACCGTTTATTCATTCTTTATTTTACAGTTACACGTGGGTTCAATTTGTTCGGGTGGTTTGTTGATAGTTTTCTTCTTGTGCTATTTTATTATTTGTTCTCGGTGCAACTGTGGCTGATTTTTACAGTGTTTTATTGAATATTTTGTATAGAGTGCTTAATTCCGGGAGGTGTTTGTTTAAGAGTTTGAAGAATATTTATCCAAAGTTTGTTTTCAGGTTTTTGCTGTACAGTGGGTTGAACCATATGATATTTTTTTCCTGTTGGCCTTTTTTGTGATCTGTGGTGAGTATGTGAGTTTTACCGGGAATCCACTATCTTTTAGACGTGTTTCGTAGCTTCGTTAAATATAGTTTCATTGCAAGAATTGTCGGAAAGCCTGCGGTTAATCGATTTTGGTATCTGTTTGATTATTGAAGGCGGGTGATTGGAAGATGTGTGTATGTACAGTGGTTTATCATTGGGTTTTCTGTAGGGTATACATGTGCCTTTTCGGAAGTTGAAGGTAACATATAGAAAATTTACTTCGTTTAGGTTAGTTTTTATATCAATGTCAAATCCATTATTATTAAAACTCCTTATTATTACTTTTCTAGCGTTTCTTAGGATTATGAGATCGTCGTCCCTGTAGAAGCCTGTATCAATTTATCTATTATTTTGCTTATTTCATGTAGTAAATATGTATTTATGATTTAGCATGTCTCAACACTTACCAAAATCCAACACTCGCGGCCTGACGATTGCGTCTAGCATAAAAAGCCTGCCGCCTCTGAGTGCTGACTTCAATGTTCACTTTATATATATATATATATATATATATATATATATATATATATATATATATTTTTATTTATTTAAAATTCTAACATAAATATGTTATAATATTACAGTTTTTGAAAAAAAATGGCTATTTTTTGAAGTAATGTTATAACATACTTATGTTATAATTTTTAAATAAATATTATTCAGTCTACTCTTTGGTGATCAAGAAATTAGCCATAAGTATAACATACCTTAAAATCATATATATGTATATATATATAATGTCATCCACAGACAGACTGTTTCGCAGCTCATCGGTGTGGCTAGACATCCGGTTACCTCTAGCTAGGAACGAAACCCGACTGAAGTGGTGTCAGTCAGAGATTCTAACCATTAAGCCGTCGGCGCACGGTAGGGATGGAAGTGGATTTTTTAGCGTATTTATTTTTAGAAACACGCCCAGTGGCCGACAGTGACTCAATTCGCATCTGCAAAGAGTCTATATATATATATAACTGTGTGTTCGTGTCGGTAGAACGAGAGAGCGAGAGAGAGTGAGATAATGGCTGGGTATATGTGTGTGTGGAAATAAAAATCACAGCATAATGACTGTCCATTTCAAGTTTGAGATTAGTCTTCAGACTTTTCAAGTTCTTGTTCTGATAATCACATTCAGTGAAACTGATAGTTACGCTGAAGAGTGTTTTTTCTTATGCCTGCACTGTCTATATCTATAAACGATTTATTTTCAATAAAGAACAGTTTTTCTGCATAAATATAGCAATTTTATATAAGGCACAAGCATTAAAAGTTCATGAGGTAATAATTAATTCATTAGGGTCGTAAAAAACAGCCCCAATCCGTCAGACCTTCAAATCACAAAAAAAAAGCTTTGTCTGATGAATTGGGACCGTTTTTTACAACCCTAATGAAATAAATTATTACCTCATGAAGTTTTAGCGTCTGTGCCTTTTATAAGTTAATTATTGCTCTGCTTCTAGCATAGAGCTCTCCCTAGGTTATTAACCTTTTTGAAGTATCCATATTGATCACTAATATTATCATTATACATACATGCATACATACATACATATATATATATATATATATATATATATATATATATATATATACATTTTGTCGGGATCCTGTATCCTATTTTAAAAACATATATTATCAACATGGAAAACACATGTATAGACCAAAAATTATAAAAATTGACACATTTCGATCCATTCTTTAGAATCATATGAGGATTTGCTTTGGATTTATTTCAGAAAAGGGCTGTATGAAGATTTGTTTTTAATTCGACGCAAAAAAGCTAGGGAAAATATATTAGCAAATTTCGACATGAAGTATGAATTATAAAGAAAAGTTACAGAATAAATATTAACGGCATTTTTAAAAGTCACTCAATTTCTTTTTTCTTTAATCATGAGGAACGTTAGCTTAGGATTAGTTTGGTTTGGTTTGTTTTACCCAGGACGCGGACGGGTCAGCTTGAAAAAAGTAGCTTGTAGTGTTGTTGACAGACAAGAGTAAGTGGCGAAATATTACAGGAGGCCGCATATGATACAATATTCGCAACTGAATGCCCTGGATCCAAGTCACCTTTCGCTTTAG